ACACAAGTGCCAAAATACTATAATTAATGTAAGTTTGTCTAAATATTAGATCTTTTTAGACTAATTGTTAGACCCTCCGGAGCTTAAAAAAATGTAGATTTTCTTTAGCAATTATCAGGTATTTTTATCTATTTCTGTGGAAAACAGAAACCTCTAAACATATGCACATGTTTTACCGTCTGTAATATATGGTGAAACTTATCGCAACATTTTAGCGTTCATTATTTTTTACAAAACTTTGACGAATGTTCAGTTTTCCCATGCTGAACGCTTCAATAGATATACTAACATACTACAAAACTATAATACTTTCATGTAGTATTAAGCATGCAATATTGTTTGGAGCTTAATAAGATAAACAATTTTCCAGAAGCGATTATCTGTACATTACACAGAATGACAATTGAACACAACGTTACAGATGTTTTCTGAGTTAGTAAATAAATTTGCACTACATTTTCTACCATCTTTATGAAAGTCAGATCGGTCATTGTGTTACAACAGTTTGAAGACATTATAGCTGAATTTACAAAATACCTTTATATTTACTCTTCAAAGCATCCATACTTATGATTTTCTGGAAAGTTTTCATGTTTCGGAGAACAGGAAATGAAAATAAACTGTACTCCAGATAATTATATGATGCAATTTTAGGCAGTTAATTGTATGGCTGCATCATTGTTAAAGTTACAATCGTTCGTGGAATTTATTCCTGCATGAAATATACAGTTTGAATACGATCACTGATCACAGTTTGTTGTGTTGGTCATACCTTTTGGTACAAGGATCGTAAACATAGGGTATAAGTAGGCATTACTTTTCGGTAATGTTAAGAATGTCTATCTAATAAGAGACTTTAAACTGTGCGACTGCTCAACCAAGGCGTGTAATAACTTGTTGAATTAGTTTCAATCAAGGAAAGTTATTCCAACTGTGATCTTAACAGTTGTATGTCAGGTCTAATTTTTTTTAGTCTTTGCTTTATTAGGACCTTCTGTCCATCTTTCTGTATTTCTTAGTGTTAAGTTATGCTGGACGTAAACACTTTTATTCTAACAATATGAAGTACAAGTATAATAATTTTTTGTGTAAATTTCATAGAAACAAGGGATCGATATATATGCAACCTAGCGAGCTATAGTAGTATAGAAACTTTTAATACTACAAAAAGTATTGAAACAAGAAAGTCAAATTAAAAAATCTGGATTATTAATAATATATAAAACATTTTATCCCTACTTTGGTTCAGACTAACATAATTACAGTGATCTGCCAAAGTAGGGATAACATTTGTATTTTATTTTAAGTAACTCAGTTTTTTAGTTTGACTTTCTTGTTTAAATACTTTTGTAGCATTTAAAATTTTCTATACTACTATAGCTAGCTTGGTTACGTGTATATTGATCCCTACTTATCTTTATAAAATTTTCTTTTTATACTTGTTTGTTTTCTTTTTTATTTGCTATATTTTTGTGCGCCTGCAATACCAAGCTAGGGGCGCGCGTATACCATACAAGATTATATTACTCATCAAGATCTCTACCAACCCACTCTCAAATCTAAATATATGCCCATCGTCTGTTGCATATCTATATACCAGTATCCTTTTCGGTACAAGAAAGGAATCATTGAGACCTCAGACGGAAGAGTTCTGTGAAAAATATTAAAGCAATAAGGTTCGTTATTTTTCTGTATGCTTCATTGAAACAGTGAAATTTTGATTCACTCCATAAAAACATACAGAGCGATTTAGGTGGTTTTATAAATACAATAAACTTTACTTTTGCTCAATCAATACTGTGAAATAATCATTTTTAATATTCAAACATTTTAAAGGTGGTTTTAAGCGGGCGATTTTTATGACCACTATTTTGTTTCATCATGATCTCTACTGTTAAGTACTACTGTGCCTAGCAAATAATATACTTTTATGTGGCCGATTAACAGTATATTAGGTGCTGAAGATCATGTTTATCTATCAAGTTGGGAGAATGACCATTAAAAACTTAAAAATCTATATAAAAGACATAATTTTTGACTGTGATTTGGTTAAAGCCAGTACCAGTTCCTATAAATCAATTCATATCATTATGCATATATGTAAAAAAGGTAAACATAATATAAACCAACTTATCCATTAGGAATATAACCTTTATATACCGAGAAGAAAAATAAAACAGAGTTGAAGAGATTGAGTAATAGACAAGTTGAAAGGTGAAAAAGTTTGGAAAACATTGTATAAAAAAACATTAACATTGTATTAAAGACGCTTAACATTGTCTTATGGCATTTACCTTTGGTTGTTTTCAGTGTTCAAGGAGAAAAGATGTAAATAAAGCTACACAGAAAGCGGACGTATAAGAACTATATCTAAAAATATATGAGTATATTATATACAAAACAGACAAATAAAAATGTGTATCAAGATTAAACCTGAATTCGACCAGAAAAGAATACAAGAAATTATCATTGACATTTAGAAGTATAACATGTTTATGTAAAAACGATGTAAGTACTCCCAAATACAAACAAATTAACACCAAATAAATCAAATGTTTTGGTGTGAATTATCAACCTTGTTTAGACATTTTTGTGTTTTGCAAAGGAGTTCAGCTGACATGCTGAATATATATTTCTTTCGCGTGTCAATATGAAATTATAACGTGTGGAGATAATTGGACAATTGTTGATGTGATTGCTAATTACCAAAAATATCCAATTCGCTCATTCAGGTTTCATCTTTTGGCTCTTATAGCCCCATAGCTCAGCAGTAACTTTAGGGCTTGTAAAGCCAGGATTTGATACCCGCAGCGGGCATAATGCAGATAGCCTACTGTGTAGCTATGCGCTTGAAAACAATCAACAACAAATATTGTGTTTATTAAATAATATCATTTATAACGGTTTATATATAATTGCTATTTTTTATATTAATATTCAAATTCAAGTACATATCGTGTTTGAAAAGAAGACAATAATTAGTTGAAAATATTTGTTTTAACATCGAACAATATCTCAAGAAGACACCTTTCATTAGTAGTATTATCAGACACGTCAGTTCAAGCTGTTAAACTTTTGAAAACATAACTTATTATTCTAAATTTTATATAACGCAAATTGGAGTTTATTTGAGAGACATTTTTATAAACGTAAATATAATAACGACCTATATCTCCAGAATTTAACTTTATTAGCTCAATATTTCGCTATTACAGCTTCGTTAGGAAATAGCGATATCCTAAAGTAAACTATTCCAGTTGAAAATAAATTGAAATAGTTAACTTGTTAGATATATATATAGATAGCCCTTGGCGAAACTGTAACAGAACAATTTAGTTTCAACTGGAATATTTAACTTGTAGGATATCGATAGCTCCTGACGAAACTGTAACAAAACAATTTAGTTTTAACTGGAATATTTAACTTGTAGGATATCGATAGCTCCTGACGAAACTGTAACAAAACAATTTAGTTTTAACTGGAATATTTAACTTGTAGGATATCGATAGCTCCTGACGAAACTGTAATAGCGAAATATTGAGCTAATAAAGTTATATTCTGGAGATATAGGTCGTTATTTCATTTACGTTTATAAAAATAAAATACTATCGTATATGAATGATATTTTAAAAATACTGAATCTCGGTTTTCATGTAATGAAATAATTTTAATATAGACTATACCGTAATTATGAAAAACAGAAGTTACTAAATGCTAATTACACCAGTATTACTTATTTTAAATATATTGCGTAATACGCTTAATTCATAACATTTACAAAAAATAAAGAAAATAAATAAAGATAGAGAGTGAAATTACCAAAGACAAAAATGTAAGTACCTGACACTGAATTTTACGTTTAACCATGTAATTAAAATAGAAGTTAATTTAAGAATAATGCTGTGTGTCAATCTTTCGTGTTTCTATATGGGAACATGCATGACAAGTACAGCTCCTCACGATAACCACCAAGCCAAGTCCGTTTTTACGGAATAAGTTTAGTCTAATTGGCGATAAATAAACTGATTAAGTTGGAGTTTTTCGTTTTTTAAAATTAAAGTTACTGAATATGAGATAAGATGATAGTGTTGTAAAGTAATGGTGGCACAATACAATAAATATGGTTTGTATTTTCCAAATTGGTTAGTAGATATAAAGGAGACATTAAGAAAAGACTGAAATAAAAACAAAACAAAGAAAATAGGATGGAAAGAAAACAGAGTAGTTTGGAAAAGTAAGTAAATAGATCACAGAAAGAAAATTATCATGTTACTATGAGAAGAAAACATACAGACAGAAAATACTCAGGTTAGTAGGAAAACAAAACATAGACATAACAGAAAGTGATAATAATAAAAATCAGTAACACCAAAATAAACGAAAAATTGTGCAGGATATTCAGTTGTCATCTTTCTGGATTTAGTTGTTCGTTTCGTTTCTTCATCAGAACGTGAATTTCAGCGAAGAAAAGATGACCTAGAGGTTAAACCTGTTCTTTGATTCGCTATATCGTTGCAAAAGACTAGTTGTGCTGAATTCACAGTTCATCAGTGTTGCTAGGAAAAGATTTGCTCTGTCATTGAAAGCAATAAAAAAGAAAGAATTGAGTAAAAGCCAGATTCTACGTTTTGTGTACTTAAGTTATTGTTTATTTTCTTGTAATTATTTTTGTTAAATTGGAAATAAATGTGATCTATATTCTCAAACTTTGAAGTAATTTCTTTACATTTATTTTTTTATCATTAAGTCTTCATAGATTTTACCTACGATTACAAACGACTTATCCACCTAGACTAGATATACTTCCGCAATAAGAGTAAATAAAACCAAAATTAAGAGGAACAAATATTTTATTTCTTGCTTTTACAGTACAAATTGCAACATTAAATGTCCCTTATATGACATCATTTTAATGTCCACTGACTGACTGACAGACAACACACTACTGTATGGCGGTGCGAGTGGTTGAAACAGGTGATCCCTCCAGGCGGTCCTCGGCTCCCCTTTCGGGGAAATAAGACAATGGTAACAAACAAATAAGCAAGCTTTGGGTCTTGAAAATCAGAACAAATAGCTTGAAAACAGTTCCAAGTCTTCTCTGAGTTTATACCAACTGACGAGCTATTAACTTAACAGTACTTTCTTTCTTTATTTTATATACAAACCCATTCGGATGTGTATTCTATAATGTCACTAGCGTGTAGTCCGTCAAAAATGAGGGGATAAGTACTACTGACTGTACCACCCCCATCCCATACTATTCCCTCACATTTCATAGCAAACTCAAATAAATAAATTTTGCGAGATCAAGCTTGACCAACAAAGTTTGTTTGTTTGCTTGTATTTAAGCACAAAGATACACAATGGGCTATCTATACTCTGTCGACCACGGGTATCGAAACCCGGATTCTAGCGTTGTAAGTCCGCAGACATACCGCTGTGCCACTGGGGGGGGGGGGCGACCAATAAAGAGGCAGAAAAGTGCAGTTGAAGCAGCCAAACGTCTGTAAATTAATATCGTTCATGAAATGAATTTGTGGCGTATTCATAGAATAGTAGCAATAGCTAAAAATCAGTTAGATTAACAACTTCTAATATATAGAAAAGACAGTGCGTTTTGGTAATACCAAGTTCCAACAATGGCTTTTATGTCATGTTGCTTAGCAACAAAAGTAAACCTGATATTGTTGTTAGTCTATGTACTGAAAGAATAAAATGAAGGCTGGAAAATATTTGTTGATTTCTTAATTTAGAGTCCCGTTTGTTTTTTATTAAAAACGTTTGTGATATAACAGAGAATAGCTTAATTCAGAAACGATTTAAGTTTAAGATTGAATTGATAATTTTACTTTTATGGTAAATTTAATGTATTTGGCTCTAGGCAAGGTGATCCCACACTACGTCTTTACTTTATGCTTACTATACCAACACTCACTTGCACCCTAGTCACTAAAATAGTACTCGAACTATTCTATCTTGATAAATGCAGTTTGGCTTTTATGACTCCAATTTCGGACTTACAACGCTAGAAACCGGGTTTCAATACCCGTGATGAGCATAGCACAGATAGCGCACTGTGTAGCTTTGTGTTTAATTACAAAAAAACAAAAAACAAATCCTATTTCGAGAAATGAAGATAAGGTAAGTGTGATGTGACACGCACTGTCTTTTATATGAGTTAGACATTAACAGCTAATTAACAAATTAATTAATTACTTATTCCATATTCAAGACTGAAGTTAGTTACTTATTCCCTATTCGTAGTTCAAGTTTAAATGGTTAACATCACATGGATCGCCAAGATGTTACACCTCAAATAAGAAATATTATTAGCACTTAAGCATTCCTTTTCCGAACAGATTAGTTACAAAGTAGTATATCGGGTATTCAAGACGTACACCTCCTTTATTCTTACAGGCAAATTGATTACATCTCATTTTACATTTAAACGGTTTGATCATATGGATAGTCTGGTTGTGGCATCTCAAATAGGAATCATTTTAAAGTTTGTGAATTTCCCTTCAAAATAAAGCAGATTGCAGAGTGGCACAAGCAGGCATTCAAGACGTATGCTAACGTATTCAGCTTTGAATTAGGACTAACTAACTAACTTCAGCCTGGTAATTACGAAAGACTACAAATATCACCTTCGTAGCAGTATATTTAATTTATTAGGCGAAAATATATCCTCTGTTAGTTATATTCTTGGATTCTCGTAGTTAAAACACTGGATCCTTTGTTGTAAAACTATGTATTTTCAAAAACTTCAAAAATCTAATTTAATGAATATAATTCTAAATACTTGTAAATGCCAACTATATCAAAAAACATCTATATGTTTGTGGTATTTATTAAAAAATTGTCTCCACTAACAATTACTTACGATCGTAAATGTATCTTGATATTAAATTCGAAATGCCAAGAGTTACTACAAACAAAGATTTGACATTTTTATCTCAATTTGTGAGAAAAACACATAATGATTTTCCCATTTAATATAATATAAAATGACATTTTGAAACGTTAAAATGTTCCTATCTTATGAAACATTTATCCTA